GGAACTGTCACCGACTCTCTGTTCTTGTCCACAAGGGCCATCCCCTCCCTTCTCTTTGCTCTGCTTTGCCAAACATGAAAGACCTTTGACCAAACCCACCTGCGTCCTCCCAGTCTCTCCTTCTTCCCTCCCTCTCCAGGGACATGGGCTGATTAAAAAAAAACTAAACTCACTGCTGTCGAGTCAGTTCTGACTCATAGACTCCTCCTTAGGTTTCTGAGGCAGTATCTCTATGGAAGTAGATTGCCCAGTCTTCCTTCCAAGGAGGGGCTGGTGGGTTTGAACCACCGATTAAAGGAGATACCAATGCCTGGGACATCATTGTGTCCTCACTCCACTTCAGCCAAGGCAGGGTGGGGAGTGGGCACTGGGGAAAGTCTCAGAAAGGAGTGAGAAGAAGGGAGGCTGCTGTTGTCCCGGCACTTCCACTACAGCCTGAGAACTAAAGGGAAGGTGGCCAGAGAAGGTGGCCATCAGGACAAGAACAGAGAGTCTGTGACAGTTCACAGGGAGAACCCTCAAGTACGAGATTTCTACATAGGAAGATATCTGGAATGCAATAGCTAGAGGACCAGCACTCCACTCCCCATACACAAAGTCAAAGAGCAATGATGAGTCCCTCTTCTCTGAGTGCAGAGGCCTGAGGTTGCCAGTAATCTTTCTTCAATAACACTGAAGAGCACAAGTCTCCTAAACTGGCCACCAAAGGCAAAGTAGTAACAATCATCTCGTTTCCTTAAAATATCTGAACTTTGGAAGGGGAGGGCTGAAAGGAACCGTGCTGTGTTCCAAGCTCAAAGACTAAAATGCACCATGAGTAAAATTCTCCAGGGTATCATGAAACCATCACTGTGGAACCCAAACCCTCCTGCAACCCTAAAACCTGTCATCTCCCCAGCTCTGATGGAACCAGCCTCCCTCCCTTCCCCTCATCCATCCACACACAGACTCTACCTTGGTTCCGGGTCAGAAGCCTGAGCCCAAACTTTGGGGAAGCAACTGCTGTCAGCTTGGTGTCTGGGCTTCCTACCTGGCTCTGGGGCAATAACAGGAGCAGAGGAGCCTTGAGACCTCCTGGCTCCTACATTCCCCTTCAGTGCTATGAGTTAGTGCGGCCTTAAGAAGGAAAACTAGAATTTGATTCTCCTAGCTATGTCCTCAGGTGTTCTGGTGACATAGTGCCTAAGGCACTTGACTGCTAACCAGAAGGCTGATGGCTCGAACCCACCAGCCACTCCTCAGAAGGAAGGTTGGGCAATCTACTTCCGTAGTGATACCGCATGGGAAACCCAAGGAGGGGTCACTATGAGTTGAATCCGGCTTGTTGGCAATGCTTTGTGTTGCGTTATCTATGTCCTCACAAAGTTGCCTGCACTGGATTTGCTTCAGTGCCTCGATTCTGACTCATGGAGACCATACGTGTGTCAGAGCAGAACCGCACTCCAGAGAGTTTTCAATGGCTGCATTTTCAGTTGTAGATGGATGTCCAGGCCTTTCTACTGAGGCACCTCTGGGTGGACCTCCAACTTTTCAGTTAGCAGATGAGCACATTAACTGTTTGCCCTAACCAGGGACTCCCTACACTTGCTACAGGCCCAAAAGGCCTACAAGAAACAGAGTATTTCTACCTCCAATATGGGTCTTGTAACCTCACTTCCTCTCCAGTGAGCCTGCCTTATAGGGGTGAGTTGAAGCTAAGCATGTGGCTGGGTGCACGGATTTGAGTTGAGAGGCGACAGCATCATTGTCTCCGCTTAGCGGCCTCTACACAAAATGGCAATAGCTCCTGCAGACTGGGGCCTTCATCATGTCGAGGCCCCTTGCTAAGCTCCTTACCAGCATCACTGCTAATCCCCGTAGCAACCCTGTGAATAGGTCAGATCCCCCACTTTGCAGATGTGGAAAGTAAGGCTAGAGAGGTTAATTAATTTTCACAAGGTCAACTGACCAGAAAATAGCAGAGCAGGGCTTTAAATAAAGGTTTTAAAGTCTTACACCTGAATGGCAGTGAATTATAGCCACCTCCCAAATTAAAGTCTCCGTTCAATGTGGCTTTAACTTTTTAGAAGGGAATACCTCAAGCATTTTCATTCTGAAGCCCTCAGCTCTAGAGTGAATCCTTCATTCCCCACTGCAGGCCCAACCACAGTCACAGTTTAATCACACATAGCTTTGGCCTGTTGCCGTGACCAAGGCAGCCTGGCCCTCAATATGTAAGTTCCCTTTGGTCAAAAGAGAGATTTCAAGAAGACATCTAGCCTTGGCCAGCTCACACAAAAAGGCGGGTATGGAGATCATTTGGAGTGTTTCCCTGACACCCACAGCTCCTCAGTGATGATTTACAAAAAAAGTTTTTTAGGACTCCCAGTTCTCTGTGGAAGAGGCAGGGCAACCATTACCTCCTTTTCACAGGTGAACAAACCTGTGTATGTTGAATGAATTGCCCGAGGTCACATAGCTACTCAACAGCAAAGGCAAGACTAAAATCTTGATCTATCCAAGTGCACCTTATGATTCTGGCTCACTCTCTGAGGTTCAAAGAGACCAATTTGAAGTTTTCCAACACAGAATGTGGTAAACGTGAGTATGGAGAATGCCTTCCCACAAGCTACTTTACTATCCCCAATTTCCAGATGGAAAAACTGAGGTCTCCTAAGAAGGAAGGGCTTGGACCATTCTTCAGGTAGTGAGAAAACTGGAAAGGGAACTCTGGGGCCTTCCCAATTCTAGAACCCTGACCACTCCAACAACTCCTGGCAAGTCACAGCTCCCTCCCTTGGCTTGGGAAACTTAATCCTACCCTCACAGCTTCTGCGTGCAGAGCAGATGTGGCTACAGACAGAACAGGGCCTATCTGGACTGACGCACATTCTCCAAAGAGGACCTGTCAAGTAGTGGAGGCACAACTTTTGGTTTCAGGCTTACTTTTTACATTTTACACCACTGTGGTATTTGGGAATATTTTGGTGTTTTTTTTTTTTTTTTCTAAAATTAAATTTAAAAGACCTTCGAAACCAGTCATCAGATTTTGGGGACACTTCACATTGGGTATTTGTGGGAGGATAGCAAGCCAGAAGAGGAAGTTAGCTCCTCTGATGGGACCCCCCCCCACACACACACACACAGGTAAATAGATGCTGTGACCACAGGGCAGCTTCCCAAACCCTCTCTGGGCCACCAGAATTCAAAACAGGTTCACCAACCAGCTGGGGGAAGGAAATACCTTCTGAGGAAGATAAACATGGCATCTGGACAGGGGCCCTTTAAATGAGATCATTATGTATGCATCTAACTCATTCTGAGGCCACACCCCCATAGGAGGGGGACCCCCAGCTCTTGCCACAGGTCACTCTGCAAAGGAGTGGGGGTGACACGCTGTGTGCCCCCATGGAAGGCTGCCCTGGGTCCGCTGGCCAAGAGCAATTAGCCCAGGGAAAAACACTCCTGCCAAGTCCAGGAGCAAACACTGCAGAAGTGGCCCAACTAACCCGAGTCTCTGGGGGGCTTCTTCAGGAGCTGAAGGACTAAAAATAACTTGGGCCTTTGTTGTAAGCCGGCAGACCACAGAGATGGAGCTGATTTCAGGGAAGCCGAGCATGCGTGAGGGTCCATCTCACCGAGACCGAACGATTTTTCCAGAAATGTGTCTGTTGTTGTGCTGCGGCTACTGCCACTGCTGCCGTGATTCAAAGGCAACACAATCCATTCCAGCCCGCGGCTATCTTCCAACACACAGAGTTCCCAGAATCTGCACCTCCCTACTTCTTCTTGAAACATTTTTGAAAACGAGAGTCCAGGCAGTACTGGGGAGGCTAGGACACAGAGCAGCCCTCGAGTGGAGGACTCTGAGTCTTTGCCACCCTCATCATAAATAATCACATCAGCCTAATTGTCTGTTTAGGTAACAATCATCTCTCCCTCATCCTAAATTCCAGAGTTGGGGCTCAGTGGACAATGGCAAACATACACTATAAGGAAAGAAGAAATTGGTTGGGGAAAGCGATTCCTAGTGTCACACCAACACTGAAGGGTTTTTCAGAGCCACAATCTTTTCTATTCAACAGACACTTGATTGAGCAGCTGTAACTCATTGTCCTGGTTCTGGAGTCCCACCAGGAAAAGCTGACCCAAGCTTCTAGGCCCAGGTTGGTTGGGAGGCAAACTGTTAAACAGTTTATTCTGTTCCTAGTTATGGCTTATCTCACCTCAAGGTCAAGGACCCACACAGCCTGGTTCCTTGCAAAACCTCTCCTGGTACATAGCAATACTGACTGGCTGAGTAGGGCCCCAGTGTTATCTTCACAATGTTTTCACTCATCCCTTAGTGCCTCCACTTCCTTCCTCAAATGACCTAACACAGTGGGGTCAAGACCACCTGGGCTGTGGACACCACTGGATGTTTGCTGTTATTCCAGAAAGCAGCTTTTCCTCTTCATAGAGACCAAGGAACAAGGAGGGATTCCAGGGCTCCACCTTTAAGATGGCCTCTAAGCTCCAAGTCTAAAAGTCTCCAAGTGAGGGTTGTAATAAGTAATAACTTCTCCACAGCCCTTTGTTGCTCTGCTAAGAGTTTGGGGTGAAGCACAGGTGAAGTGACTGTGTGAAGATTATTTAGAATACAATAAATAGAAAACACCAAACTACACACTAATGACTGATCAGTGGTCACAAAATGGCTTCCCTTAAAATGAGAGCCAGTGAGAAGACAGTGGTGCTAAAGTAAAAGTGAAGGGGGCTTCATAGGGCTAGGGCTGGAATTCTTCCTTAAAAGTGCAAGATCCTTCTGGTAGAAATAAGGAGGGGCTAGCTGAAGTGGCAAAACGTGTGTGGAGGTAAGTAGATACCTCATCCTCTTGGTTCCTGGTGTCCATGTCCCTCTGTGACTATTACTTTCCTTACAGCTGGTCTATCTGGATATATGGCAGTAAAGGCTTGAACTGGTTTGAACTGAGCTCCTGTTCAGCCTCTCCAGCGGCAAGTCACATTCTGTGACCTTGGGCCCTAGGCCTGGCAGCCAAAGGCTGAGGCTTTCTCTTTGAGCAGTTCCCAGCATAAGTGGCAGCTCCAGCTTCCTATAAGAAACAAGATGGAGTTAGTAGTAGCCCCCACTCTTCCAACCCTCAAGCCCCATCCCAAAGGCCCTAACTTCTTGCAAGGCTTGTTTTCTTTTGACTTTCACAATCCAGAGATCAAATCCCAGTCTTATAAACATGAAGGAGTTCATTGTTAACAGAGTTAAGTGCTGCTCAGCTAATAGTAAGTGCTCTGGGATGACTTTTAATTAAAAGTGCACTATTGTGAAGACCCATGCTCCTGGTCATGCCTCTTAACCTAGACCATCGCCTGGCCTTGACCAGTTCTCCTGGAAGCTCACACTTCCCCACTATCTCAGCCACATGTCTGTGAAATGTCTCCTTGGCCCTCAAGTTGAAAATTCAGCTGGTTGAACTGTACCTCAGATTCATCACCTGCAAAATAGTAGTAATTGTATCTACCTCATAGGGTTGTGATGATTAAATGAGACAAAACATGTAAAGCCCTTAGCCCAAGGCCTGCACAATAGTGAGGGCCCAGTAAGCAGTAGTAGTGGTAGCTGTTGTTGTTATTGTTGACTTCATCATCATTACCTTCTGGGGGCTCAGCCACTGGGGGATTTAGACAGTACATGTGGTAGCCACGGTCACAGTCATCGCAGAAGAGCAGCTGGTCCTGATGGGACACAGAATAGGTGGACAAGGAAAGAGAGGAATTGAGTTATTTAGAGCCAGAGTCTGGTCCCCACCTGTTCTTCCAGATGTATTCCCCTAAATCAACCTCCCTGATCACCCACTCCAGGCCCCATTTGGAATTCTCACTGTTCTTGAACAGACCTTCTGCTTTGCGCACACCTGGAATATTCCCCTCTACTTGTCCGATTATATAAATCCTACCTCCACTTTAGGAGTCCCTGGGTGGCACAAATTGCCAAACGCTTGACCACTAGCCCAGAGGTTGTCAGTTTGAATGGACCCAGAAGCACCTTGGAAGACAGACCTGACAACCTGCTTCCAAAAGGTCACAGCCATTGAAAACCCCATGAAGCACTTCTACTCTGCATGCGGGAGGCCGCTATGAGTGGGAATCAACTCAAAGGCAACAAACAACACCACCTTCACTTTAGGGTTCAACTTCTACTCCAAGAAGTCTTCCTTGATCACCACTTAAAGGGATTTCTTATTTTTCTGAACTCCAGAAGCTAATAGCTTGTTCTTCTCTAAAGGCAGAAAACTAATTGTATGCATTTTTATATTACCCCATGATGATTATTTAATATATAGGATGTACTTTAAATGTTCAGGAGTTTTAGTTATATTCTTCCAGACCTCACTCTTTACATCTGTGAAATGGGCAACAACGATACCTGGAGGTAACACCCATGGTACCTCAAAACTTTCAGGGTTTCAGTCTGTGAACTTAACTATAAGTGATGCCATGTGTATCAGGGTATAATTAGGTTCCAATGGATTTTTTCAACGGCTTATTTTTGAGAAGTAGGTTGTCATGCCTTTCTTCCAAGATGCCTCTGGGTGAGTTTGAACCTCCAACCTTTCAGTTAACAGTTGAACATGTTAACCATATGCACCATCCAGGAACCCCTCTGTGACCATGTAATATTGTAAATCCTTCAACCCTCATACTTCATTTTGCCGTGGTACAACTGTTTACCTGTTTGTTGGAACCTCAAGGACAGGGATAAGACTTTATTCATCTTTGTATCCTTGGAATATACTAAGCATTTGATGAATATTTATTGTATCAAAGGGCAGTCTCATGTCCTGAAGGTTTGGGTTTGCTTTTGCCTTCACCCAGCTGACCCATAGAAGATCTAGAAGGTATTTAAGGTGAAAATGGGAAATGAATTTCAAGTCAGGCTGCTAAACAAAATGCCCTTCAGTAGGCTTCTGACTGGTAACGTCAATACATGATGCTGAGAACACAACCGGAAGTAGTGAGGACTTGCCCAAATAAGGAACGCCTGCCCCACTGGAAAGCATTCAGAATCAACTTTTATATGTATGGCCAAACAAAATTATTTTAGTGTAAGGGCTAGCATTTGTATCTCCTGAATGCAAAAGTATCAACTCTAGTTCCTATTCTCCTCCCCATACAAAGTTTCCTTTTGCTTTGCCTGTTAGCCACCTGGTCCCTTCTAATCCAAATCTCTATGAAGAACTAATCTATTTTTTTTATTTATACTGTTTTATTTATACTGTTGTTGTTGTTTGCCGTCGAGTTGGCCCCGACTCATAGCGACCCCTCCTTGGGTTTCCGAGGCAGTATCACTACGGAAGTAGGATTGCCCAACCTTCCTTCCGAG